GGGTGACGTGCGGGGTGATGGCGTTTGTCTTCCCAGGTCCCTGTTACATGTGACGGAGCCCTGCTTTCCTGGGGGTGGCTGAGCCCCTGCCTGCACTGGGAAGTGGGGAGTGAATTCCTTGCTCTGCTTTACCTGTTGAACTGTCTCTATCCCAGCCCACGAGTTCTTTTTCAGTTTTGCTTTTCTGATTCTCTCCCTGTCCCGCTGCGGGGGAGTGAGCAGCGGCTGCATGGGGCTGAGCTGCCAGCTGGGGTTAAGCCATGACAAGACCTTTAATTAAATTTCTGGTCTGCCGTTGGCTCATGAGTGGAGATTCAAAGAGATGCTTACTGCTTTTACTGGGTATCTGGTACTGCCAACTGCTGATTAAGTCTGAGGCCAACCCTAAATCCCTCTGTGCTCAGATTAAAAAAATATATTAATTTCAAATCCAATATTTGTTGGGTTTTTTTTTGAATTGTCCTTTCTGTCTGCTTTGTCTCTCCATATTCTTATTTTACACAGCAAAACTCACCAGCCCGTCAAGACCCTTCCCAGTTCATCTCTCACTGGATCACATCCTGGTATCTTACTGGATGCTTTGATTCAGATTCTTTTCAACAGCAGGGTATTTCTTTAATCACTGTCTCCCAAAACTCTAGGTTAAGTACAAAATATGATTACCTCTTACAAAAATGCGCTAACTGGAAGTTATGTTTACTGGGCAGTTACATGAGACCTGTGTAGCTCTGAACAGCCGCAATTTAATCCTTCCAATTACAAGGAAAGCTCCCATGGCTAATTGAAGGGAAGCAGTTGATGCAGCCTGGTGGAAAAACAGCCTCGGGAAAAGGCATTGCATTTCAAGGAGAAACACTGCGGTGGGGTGGGAGAGCCAACCTGATCTTCTAGTCCAGGTCTTTATGAAATCAAACATCTCTCAGTCAGAAACAGGTTTTTGGGTGCCCACAGTGAAATTGCATTATGTAGTCTCTTGTGGATTGATGGATTGGTTTATTTTTTTAGGGAGGAATACTTAATAAATAAGACTCTTGGTATCAAATGGATTTGATTCATAAAGAAATGATTCCACATACCTCCTAAACCTGTGGGTTTAATCTGCTTTATGAAATTGTATTTATCCAAGCTCCACCTTGAAGCAGCCACTGGGGCATCAGCTGGGTCAGAGGCAGATCCTCACAGCCCAGTTTTATTAACGTGTGTAGGGGTGTGTGTGTGTAAAACCAACCAACCAGACCAGGATAGGTTTGAAGTCAGAGATGTGGTGTATCGAAAATGTCACTGGCAGAAGGTAATTTTAAAGACATCATTGAAACTGAGAGGAAGTGGGTGTTTTGATTGTTTTGTGCTGTGTACTTTCTAAAAGCAGGTGCCTGTGCCTTCCCTGCCTGTGGAGAGGGAAGTTAAGGTGCATTTGATTTTCAGGTAGGTTGGGTTCCACCCCAATTTGATCATGTTTTGTTGTGGTGGTGGTCGTGTTTCGGCATCACGACGCACCCCGCGTTTACCTGCCAGGTCAAACCGTTTCCATTTCAGGTGGGTTCCGGTTAAAAACTGCTATTGTGCTGGTTTTTTGAGTGAGGGGTCTCCCCAGTCACGTTTCGGGGTCTCTTTTTCAAAGATTTAGATTCTAGAGTTTGTTAGGCAAAGAAAAAACCCCAACCCTGAACAACTGTGGTGGTGTTTTTTTCCATTCAGGCGAAGAGTGTGGTTTGTTGGTGTGTTTTTTCACCATTTAGGCAAAAAAAGTGGGTTTTCACCATTCTGCTGCTGCACTTGACTCGTGGATTTGGGACAAATCATGAAGTATTGCTTTTTTTTTTTTATATATAAACCCGAATCAGAGCTGTGTTCCAGCACATGTCAAAAGCGGTTTATGGGGGAAAAAGTAGTTTTTGCTTAAAATGTTTATGTCGTAAAATAACCGTGTTTGTCGGAACTGGCCTCTTCGGGAGGCGATTTTGAAGGCCGACTGCGGAGCGGCGGTGCCAGTGCCGCCGTGGCACTGGCCC